TGGAAAGGTAAGACATAGGCCTACAACTTTCATATGGAGCCCAAGATCTAAAAAGGCCATTATCAAGTCCAAATTGTAGCAACAACAAAGAAGCCCGAATCTGTCTTCCAGCCCGAGCACTGTTCGGTATTTTGGCCATATCTGGAGTTCTAGAAGTCCAAATGAGCTGAAGTTTTTACACAAGAAAGCTGAGACAATTGCCTACAACTTTCATGTTTGCAACTGGCTCCAATTTTGACGTTATCAATGACGTTTTGGGCAGACAAGAGAAGATAAAGATTGTCACCAAGTCAAAAGTTGGCCACCCACTTATCAATTAGTCATCAAATCAATAGTTCCCATTTTTGGCCTATAAAAGGAGGCATTTGCCATGAATTTAGGCATCTTGGTTTCCAGATCAAGATCATGCTCTTCCTTTCTCTCTTTGTATTTTTTATGCTTTGTTTTCATTAATATTAAGTTTATGCCTTTCATTTCCTTTCCTTTACTTAGTTAACTTTTATGTTCTTATTTTGTTTATCTATTTTGCTTTCTTTCATTATGTCTAGCTAAGTTAATTATGTCAAGGTGAAAAGGTTACACTAATGGTGTAAGAATAAGTATATAGTATTATTAGTATTATTATTGCTACTATTATTATTGTTGTTGTTATTGTTACTATTGTTGTTGTTTATAATTGTTATTTATAATTTGTATAATTAACCTCCCTGTGGTTCGACCCTGGTCTTGCCGGGTTATTTATTACTTCGACACTCCTGCACTTGGGAGAAGACATCAACCTTTTAGTCGTGTCAGTGGTCAATCTGAGTGGACTATTTAAATATTAGAGGATTTACTAAGAACCTGTATATTGTAGTTTGGAGGAAACAAGAAAGATCATTTATCATTAGTAGAATTCACTTACAACAACAACTACCAAGCTACAATAGAAATGGCTCCCTATGAAGCCTTATACGATAGAAGATGTCGGATGCCAGTATACTAGGAAGAAGTAGGGGATAGATAACTAATTGGACCAGAGTTTTTATGAAATTAGAAATTTCAAAAAGAAAATAAAACCATTTATTCGATGATATGAAAGTCACTTTAATGTATATGAATAGTTAGTCCTTAATCAATTACTTATTGAAATGTGCAGTTTTTTTAATCATATTTAATGCGATTATGTTTTTAAATACATCACACTCTTGATCTAGAAAGTAGATGCTTGGATAAATAGTTTTTTTATGTGATTAATATAATTGGAAGAACTAATATTTTGTTGTCATATACTTCTATATCTAAAAAATTATAATGTTTAACTTATTATCTTGTGTATGATGTAATTTATAATATTATTATTATTAAGTTGAATTATGGTTGGTTGCATATATATTTTGAGCACAAATACTTGAAAAAGAGAGAGAAAGAGACGATGCATATTATGAATTTATTAGCTTTTATCATAGTGTTCTATAGAAAATAGAATTAAGATATTAAATATGCTTGAGTTTTGAAAATCTAAATGAGGGGACGAATATTGTGATTGATGTTACAGGTTGAGAAATGATTGAATCGATAACTTGGTATGTAAAGAATATAAAGAAAACTTTGTTGAAATTTCAGGGAAATATAATATATGTAAAAAATAAAATTAGTAACTAGTTTAAAGCTGTTACAACATATGTAAACTTTGAGATGATGAATTTCTCTTTGTGATTTGACTTTTAAAAATAGCTATACACCTTCAGATTGCATCCAAGAATGTGTACTTCAATATTAGAATAGCCTATAGCATGCGCTTTAAAATTCTACCAAAATTTGCACTTGGGATTTTAGGGATAACCCAAACATGAAAAATATATATTTTGGAGCATCAATTTAAAGTGATAGCATAATATTCCAAATGGAATCCACTTAGTTATTATTTAAGCAAGGAGGTAAGTGTTTGAGATTGTAATGTAATATGCACAAATGATTTTTTTTTTAGTTTTTTTTTATATTTATCGTACATGGATGCACAATGTGATGGGATGTGTCGCCGCTTAATTATTGATTTAGTGTCATTAGGAGACCCGACTATAATGATCTTATTATAAATTTCAAGGATAAGAGACTGATTGTGGCTTTGAAAGATATTTGTAATATCCCACATCAGCGGGTGAGGTGTTGGTTGCCAACATGTAGTACGTGTTTTAGGGTTTGTGAGCTGTCAGAAACAAAACCATGAGGTGTGGAAGTCAGTGTGGGCTGCTAAAATAGAAAATATATAGCATGTTTGGTCGGGCTGTTATATTTGGTATTAAAGTTGACCTCACTGGTTATTCGATAGTGTTGATGAGGTTGTCGCGCTCCTTAAGGGGGGTGGATTGTAATATTCCATATCGACGGGTGAGGAGTTAGTTGCTGGCCTTATTAACAGTGCTAGTTGCCAACATGTAGTAAGCGTTTTGGGGTTTGTGGACTACCAGAAACAACACCGTGAGGTGTGGATGCCGGGCTAGTCCGAGCCAAAACGGACAATATATAACATGTTGGGTCAGGCTGTTAAAGTATTAGCATTCCTAATACTTTACCTGAGGTAAGGTGCATTATATAATCTTGGTATGGTTTAAAGGTTCTAACAAGTTCCTAACCGATGGTTTGTTTAAGACGCAGAACAAAGATTTACATTAATGAATAAATTTGATATTTTAAATTATTATGAGCTCTTATGCCTAGATAAATATTTCTTATAGGAAGAATTCATGTATTTGCCTTAATAGGATTCACCTATCTTGGAGGGCAAAAATGTTTTTCACAACTCATATATTATAGTAAAAAATATTTCCAATAAAAATTGATGAAAATCCAAAATTATTCTAAAAATTTTTAAATTAATTTTTAATATTTAAATACCAACTTACTTATAAATCTCATATTTATATCATAATGTTGATCATTAATTGAAATTTCTAGGTTTGTTGAATATTATATCAAATAATAAATAATTTTATTTTAAATTTCATAATATTTTAACAATTTGTCCAAACAAATGTTTTGAGGTTATGAATCGAACTTTCAAGATGTTTGGCGTGTCTAGGTTCTATTAGAATAGATGCTGGAGAACCTCGGAAGATGTACCACGCGCCACCATCTCTATCGAGGCGTGGATTCATGCGTCACCATTGCTGGTACAGATCGGGTTGGTGGATTTGATGCTCCTTAGTCTCCTCTTTCTCTTACATCTACGATACCCCTTCGAGCTCTTCAAGAAGGGAGATCCAGTCACTTGGAAGCTCTTTTCTTCTTCTTTTTATTTTCAGGTCTACTTCTCTCTCTCTCGCTCTCTCTCTGTTGCAAATGAAAGCTACTGTTTTGGAATCATGGAGGCCGAGACAATCAGTTCAGCTTATCTATGTAGGAGGTGTTCAATGGAGACTAAAAACGTTGTTGGAAAAGAGATGTGTTACTCGTGTTAGTTGTACTCATTTGTTGCTCTTGGCCTAGTTCTGTTAGCTTGCTAGTCCTGATTAGAAAATGAGACGCAAGGCTATTATATCTTGGATTGTTGCTGCTGCTCATGACTTTAATTGAGGACCCTTGGGTGCTGAAAGGGAAACATTTTGTTGCTGTTAGTTGCGCTTCTTTGTTGCTCTTAGTTAGAAAAAACAAGATGCAAGGCTTTTGGATCTTGGATTGCTACTGCTACTGCGCACGACTTTAATGGAGACCAAATGCACTTGTACGTTGGAAGAGAAATGGCATGCTGTTGTTGAGATGCGGTGGAGTGGTCGACGATAGTTGAAGGGAGAGGGGTTGTGTCGGTTCGATGAAGAAGGTGTTATCACAGTTAGAATCAACAGGAGAAAAGGTTGTTGAGCTTGGTTTTGCCAAGAGCTGCTCATGTTGGAGAAGAAGGATTGTCGTGAGGATCCAAAGAAAGTTGGCTAATGGTAGTTGAGATTTTTTTTTTATTTTGACTGACTGCTGGGTTGGATGGAGAGATACTGGTGTAAAGATGAGGTCTAGGTTTTGTTACGTGTCTTTTTGAGAGTGTGTGAACTAGAGAAAGTCTTTTTTTGGTATTTTTCTATTAGATTTTTTTTCTCCATCCTTTCTTCTCAACATTCACTATATGTATAGCCTTCTTGAAGATGATTTCAATATTACTATCAGTTTTTTGAATGAACTTAAGTTCCGTAGACTATATACAGAGAGCTTTAATATAGCGTTTCATAATTAGTAATTCAAGATGAGAAAAGTAATTTTTATAAATTTTCTTTCAGAATCTATCATGGATATGAATACAAGTGATTCTTTAATTGATATTAGTAATAATAAATAAAACATTATTTGTAACCAGAAATCAAAGACATGAATTTAAACTCTATAAACCATTTAATAATAAATAATAAATTAATAGTTGTTTAAAACTTGATTAGCATCAATACTTTATAGTTGGAATTCCAAAAAATAATGAAATTGAGAGTTATTCAAAGTCATATTAAAGTTGGGATAGAAAATTACAATTATTGCATTACAATTAAGTATGATTTTAAAAGATTCAATGTATATTATTATTTTAAATATTTGGTATCTAGAAAAGCTAATCTTATTATGATAGATAAATTTTTACAACTATAATAAAAAAAGTTAATCAAATAGTACTAAAATAAATAAATATATATATATATATCTTTGAAAAATCTATTAATTTGAAAATTTAAAAAAAATTTTAAAAATAACAAATTATTCACAGGAAGTAGCAGAAATTTTATATTGATAAAAAAAAAGACTCGAGTATATTTTTTGTCACACAAGAAAATTGTTGGATAAAAATTATAATTTTTTAATAAAAGTAAGATAAAAATTTATAAAAAAAAATATAGTTTAATTTTTTTTTTATATATCATCTTAAAAACTAACCTCATAGAAATGATCGAGTTTAGTAGACGGTGACTTGCAAATGAAAAGGATATGATAAAGATGGAAGGAGGAAGAAAAAGTCAGAATTGAAAGAAAAAACGTAAAAATAAAGAGGAAAATGACATCGTCACAGACAAACCAAAAGAGGTATGATACCGAACGCTATAAAATCTGGCATCTTCAGGGAATAAGGGAAACATTTGTCTTGATCTTCAAGATTATTGGTACGTACATCTCAAATATATCACAGTAAAAGTCA